TTCACACGAGCAAAGCAAAAAGTGCTTAACGATTTAACGATCTCTTGCAGAGCCTTGATCGAAAATGGACCCGACGGGCATCTGAAAAATCGAAGATAATGAGCAAACCACGACAACAAGGAAGTCTTAAAGAAAGCAATCCTCCAAATGGTATTCCTGGCTGGATGATAAGGCAATAACTCTTGCATGGTAAACGCACCCTGCATCAGTAAACGCACGAATTCAGTGCCGTAATGATTAATATGTACAACTCAACTAGAGCGGTTCATACACAAACATTTAGTTTTAGCTCCGGAATTCAAAAAAGATCATAACAGAAAAAGTGAACTCGTTGGGTTGTGCAGCTGGAAAGCTTGATGGTACACGAAGTTTGATTGGTTCCGCAAAACTGATATTAAGAATGTTCTTAAGGGCTGCTTTCCACTTACGCGATTTTTATACGCACGTACACGCATGGAAATTTTTAAATGCTTTTAGATTTTTATTATTTAACATCTAGGTCAACTAATGCGTACTAAAATGTGCAGAATAACTTCCTTCGATTTATTCACTTAGCCGAAGGTAACATGCATAAGAATTTAGACTTTTAGGTGCGTGTACGTGCGTATGAAAAACGCGTAAGTGGAAAACAGCCGTAACTCAGGCTTGCCTTAAGGGTGGATTTCCACTTACGCGTTTTTCATACGCACGTACACGCTCGTAAAAGTCTAAATTCTTATACATGTTACCTTTGAAAAAACTAAGTAAATAAATCGAAGGAACTCAGTTTTCTGCGCATTTTAGTATGCATTAGTTGACCTAGATGTTAAATAATAAAAATTTGAAAGCATTTAAAATTTTTCGTACGTTTGCGTGCGTATAAAAAACGCGTAAGTGGAAAGCAGCCTTAAGGCTGTTTTTCACTTACGCGTTTTTCATACGCACGTACACGCACGTCAAAGTCGAAATCCTTATACATGTTAGCTTCGAAAAAACTAAGTAAATAAATCGAAGGAACTTTTCTGCATATTTTTGTGTGCATTATAGTTGACCTACATGTTAAATAATAAAAATTTGAAGGCATTTAAAATTTTCCGTACGTGCACGTGCGTATAAAAAACGCGTAAGTGGAAAGCAGCCTTAACGCGTTGTTTTCAAACGGGTCTCTGTAAATCCTTTGTTTTTGACCTAGCTGCTATATACAGGGTATTATATCAACAAATATATAGAGTTATATAGATTATTAGACTAATTGTTTATTCTTACTGTAGGGTCTTTAATTTCTGTCGCTTTGACGACAGATTTTAAAGGAATTTGTGTTTTCATTGATTACAATTAAAGCAATATTCGTAGAATTGTATTTGTAAAGTATTGCATACTAAATACATAGTTTACAAACGAAATTATTTTGTCATTTGTTTATTTTGTTCCCAGTTTACAGTGATGCAAATGTACTGCAACTCAATATAGCGTTTGCCATGCATTTGCAAGAGATGCAAAACTGTGGTTGGATGTATTATTTGCTTTAATAAATTCACACACGACACAAATCTGTTGCAAACTTATTATGCTTGCAAGAGGTTTACACGCTGTGGAAATCCATGCAAAATCATTATTTGCGGCACAATTACACGCGAGGCAAACAATAATGCAAATTTAACGTTTGTGCTATAGTTTTGCACGCGAAGCAAATCTATAGCAAATTTAACGTTTGTGCTATAGTTTTGTACGCGAAGCAAATCTACAGGGTGTCTCAAAAAAAACGCAACCACTTAAATATGCGAGAACATTATTGTAGCTGTAAAGCGCAATAGATAAGCACCTCTGGGAATTGAAAATGGCTCTTAACCCTTCATTTAAAATGCTAAAAGTCCTTTTAGCTGAACTATGGTGCAAACCCAAACAATATTAATATTCTTGCATATTTAAGTGGTTGCGTTTTTTTTGAGACACCCTGTATAGCAAATTTAATGTTTGCTATGCGTTTACACGCGAGGCAAACAATAATGCAAATCTGGTAAAGTTACTGGGTTTGCAATATGTTTGCACCATACGCAATCGCGGCGGATGCCAACTTTGCAACTGTTTTACATGCGAGTGGAAACTAAACGTTTACACGCGTGCAAATCTGGCAAACTATGGTCAAAATTAAGTTTTGTCGCAGATTTGCGATTTGATTTACAAGTTCGCAAACCTAACTTTTCGCCCCGTGTATATATGTATTTTAAACAATCAATAATAGAATTCGAAATATATCGTCTTTAATTTACATTGAACTGGCGTCCTAAGCGAGTACTAAAGTACAGAAAACCTCTTTACTGCACTTGCACGAACTGATTACATGTTCATGGTTAACTTTACAGTCATTAATTAATTATTGCACGAAACACTTTATAAAATACAATTCTTGAAATCAAATTTGAAACGCTGTCAGATACTTTAAACAATTAAACATATGTAACTTTTCTTTGTGGTGATTTGTCGTACATTTCATACTATATAAAACGCCCTGACGAGGGATTTTTTCGATACGATTTGCATCATAATTATGAGAAAGATTTGGATCGAAATATTTACTGCGCCTCACGACCAATAATTAACAATGATCATAGAACTAAGAGTGCAAATATGTAATGCCAAAATCTTAGGAGTGGTTATAAAATCAACCGACCGCGTAGCACAAGGTTGATTTGTCTGCAAGTATGATTTTGGCATTTATTATTAGCATCAGTGCTAAAATGATGGATGCTGATTGCTCGAGAGGAGCACAATTATTCCATTATTTTAATTAGTTCACACGCATATAGAACGTTCCTTGAATATAGCTAAATTTCCTCCAGTTTATCCAGAGTATCCAGAAACACACAGTAAAAGTACTGGAACGAGGCGTTGAGATTGATTGGCGAACAGTTCAACGTTATTTATACTTCCTTATACATATCTCTCGTTGGGAATTTGGATTATTTCCTCGTCAGAATCGACCATTTCTTTATTTAAGATATTAATTCATGTGCAGTGGCGGATTCAGGGTTAGTCAAAGTAGCTAAATTATAATTGTCGCATTATTCATACATTTCAAATTACTCTTCGGAAATTCATAACAAATAGCTTAAAATAATTTATTTTTTACCTTTTTTTCCTGCCATTAACTATTGTGTGTTCCCTCAATAATATAGATCATTTAATATACAGCGTAATACAAATAAATATTTTATAATAAAAATTATAAAAATGATAAAAATTTAATATATAATAAAATAATAAAAAATTTCTGCAACAAAAACTTTAATACAAAGTGATGGATGGTCACCATTGGAATTTCTCTAATAACACACACAGGGCCAGGCCCATCCTCATATAATCGTGATACGCAGGATTAATTTCTTTTCAAATCAATTGTCTCTACAGTCTGTTAACATGAATATATGAATATGCCCCCCCCCCCGATTATTGAAGCTGGCTACGCCAGGACAGAGAGAATTATTTGCCGAAGGCGAGGTAAGTATCGCTGATTAAAAAAAGAGACGAATTCGAGGTAATAGGTAATAATATTTTACAAACTGCACCAAAAGAAGTATCCTCCATGCAATGTTCGCCAAGCGACATTTTTGGGAAATTTGTCCTAACTAATCCTTAATACGAATAAAACGAAGGATGTGTAAAACCCAATCATATAAGTGGTAAACTATTTTTTTTTCAAATACTTCTATAAACACGTAATAATTTAGTTCATTGTATGTTATTGTACGTGTAATAAAACAAAATCAATCAAATCAACATGCACTTTCCAATATTAGAAAATAGAGAGGTTTAAGATGCCTGGTTCTGGTCAACATGTACGTTCATCGAATTGCATGAATGTTTGTGAACTGTTCGTACTTTGCCGCAATACTCCTTCTCCAGTGGACTCTAGCCATTTCATGCAAGCAAAATTTGCGTCACAAAACAAGTAAACAACAAGAAATTGTCCTCTCGAGTGTTTTAAACTCTGAGTCTAGTATGAATGGGCGCATTCTCCCACAAACGTCCTACGTAGCTTATTAGTTAAAGCACGAAAATTTAGTTTATGAGGAAAATTGTGAACCAGGCCGAAAAGTTCTTGCTAGATGTTGTATTAATTATTCATTCAGTCGCTGAATGCGAGATTAATACAATTCAATAGCTGAAGTGACAAAGACAATTTTTTTTCCAAATTTTCGAACTGTTTTTCAATCTATATATTTTGTTAGTGAACTCCTTCTAAATCATTATTTTACGATAAATTAATGTGAACTGGGGTTACATTTCTTTTACTGGAAGGTTATCAAGTATTCGGGATAATATTGATTATCATAAAACAAGACATAGATTGTCGGGTTGTTTACATCATTGACGACAGAATCGTACGAATCATTGCTGCCCCATCCTTTGTTTGGTGGTACCACTATGCCTTTGCCCCCGTTTGTGTATTCTCCTACTGCCACTCTTGTATAGTACATGTACCTTCGTCCTGTCGAAATGTCTGGTTGGGCATAACCAGCCGACATAGAGGCATCCCTTGCAAAGTAAACTCCTCTACCAAATGCAACTCCTATTTTAATAGAAAAAAGTATGAAAAGCAATCCCAAAAAAAATATTTTACGCCTTATACAGTTGCATGGTGAAAACACTGCCTGAATATAAATTCATAATATGAATACATAATAATAATACGGCAAAACGTTGTTTAATTGTTAAAAATTAACGTTACTTTCTTTTTGGTCGGTCCGGAAAAAACTCCGCTCGATCTTTGAAACGTCACAAGGGGCTCGGTGAGCGGCCTGGGCCCTTTTTGAGACCTCGGAAAAATAATATTTTTCCATCCGGACCTCGAAACAAGTAAATAACATATTTATATGTTCTTTGTATAATAACATAATAACATATGTAATAAAAACCTCGCAAGTCAGGCTTTGTATATTTTAAGCAGTTGCTGGGCCCAAGATTGATGTAAGGTTCCCTAATTGACTTTTAATGGGTAAGGAAGTTAAAAGTTTAAAAAATTAACAATTACCATGAGTGTTTCCAGCATAACTCCTGTTTAGTCCTTTTTCAGTTATTTCCTCTAACTTATCAGGACTTGATGCCCAACAAGACCTCACTTTTTCACCTTTTTGATCCAAGCAATTTTTTTTCGTAACGTACTGTTTATACAACGATGGATTTTGGATTCGCTCGATCTGAAGAATTTGCTGGCCGCATGTTCTGTTGAAATGATCAGAAATTTCCATGCATTCCTTCTTGTGGTTTGGATTCTTAGGGTTGAGAAGGACAAGGTGTACAACAAGCTCTTTGCCATTGGCATCGAGTGGTTGAGGTTCCCAATAGTCGGGTACGGATATCTCTGTTAAAAACAATACAAAATTACCTTTAGTTATCTTTATCTTTATCATCTTTATTAGGGTCAATTAAACATATTTTTACAAAGAAACATATAAAATATTCAATTAAAACTACTCCTAAAATATAGACCCTAAAAGGGCAAGGTATAAACGGGACTCGAGGAACCATGCAAGATACCTTCCCAAACTTTACTAAATCATTACTATCATTACACACACAACACTACACACACCCAGTACAATACAATTTAAGTCCTATGACACGAGCAGTCACGAACCAAGGACCACGTACATGACAAGTCAACATCATAAATAGAATCAACAATACTAAAGTATCTACGTTTAACTAAACATTTAAAAGAACTAGGACTAGACACAGTGTCTAAACATATATCTTTACATACAGTGTTCCACAGTTTCACGACACGATTATAATACGAAGATTGATAAGTGCTTGTTCTACAGATTTGACATTTTAGAATGTACTTTGAGGTGTTACTCAGCCGAGTTCGACCATGACTGACAAACGAGACACAATTACTGACATCAACATTCACATAACCAAACAGAGCCTTGTACAGAAACACCAAGTCTTTAACCTCCCTATCGAAGGTCAACGGCAGAAGGTCCAGGGCCAACAGACGTTCTTTGTAACTCAACTCTTCTCTTTTTGTCATCATGATCCATCTCGTCGCCATTTAGTTACACTAAATTTCATGATAACAATTTTGCAGAAGCTATGAAATCCTAAAATACTGTTGATTATGTTTCCGACTGCATTATACGTCGAGGAATTCATTTCGACAACAAGGCTTGTTTTCCACTTCAACCGTGTCGTAGTGAACCGCTTAATTATTCCTTGTTTCAAAGTCATTAGTTCTATCTGAGTGCCCAAGAAAAAATGTTGCTGTGCTGTGTATTTTAAATGTGATTGGTTCATTCGTAGTCACATGACTGGGAATAAAAGCAATGTTTCCCGCCATGGAAACAAGTGAAAAATTGTTGCCCCCATGATGTTATAACAAAGTAAAGTGTTTTTTTTTAAAATGAAATTGTTGTGTAACATGTATGTTTTTGTTCCTATATTGCAAAGCACTTAATGTACACAACTTCGGGAAATTGTGAGCTTTGTTTTCCCTCGAGTCTCAATGTTTACATCGAATTCGTCTCTGGAAACATTCAGACTCTTGGGAAAACAAAACTCAATATTTCCCTCGGGAGCATACATTAAGTGTGTAATCATAGGTATCCCAATGCGCTGCATTACGTACGTCACTCGGGTCACGTATATAGTATATAATAATATAAGGTTGGCAAGAATATTTTATTTTCAATATACATCGTTTGAATATGATCAAAATATTAACATCTATTCTATAAAATACGCCAAAAAATAACAGCCCCTAAGTGTAGGGTAGTTTTACTAAATTTGTACGTAGTTTTTTTGCAATGAAACGCGATTAAAAAATGAAAATATGCCAAAAGTTTGTTGAAATTTGCCGTGTCCCGATGCGGGATGCCTGTTGCCGTGCAAAAACATCAATTTGAAAACTCGTATACGCGATCCTATTGGTCATGCAGCTTTGACCGTTTTGTGATGACCAATAGGTTCGCGTATACGAGTTTTCAAATTGATGTTTTTGCACGGCAACAGGCATCCCGCATCGGGACACGGCAAATTTCAACAAACTTTTGGCATATTTTCATTTTTTTATCGCGTTTCATTGCAAAAAAAACACGTACAAATTTAGTAAAACTACCCTACACTTAGGGGCTGTTATTTTTTTGGCGTATTTTATAGAATAGATGTTAATATTTTGATCATATTTAAACGATGTATATTGAAAATAAAATATTCTTGCCAACCTTATATTATTATATACTATATACGTGACCTAAGTGACGTACGTAATGCAGCGCATTGGGCTACCTATGGTGTAATATACGCTACATGTCGCTACAATACGGTAATTTTTACAGTTAAAGTGTAAAACAGCCCTAAAAATAATCAAGTACATCGTACCCGCCTAACTGAAATTAGTGACTTTGTTTTGCTCTCACAGTGCATTGGCATATTTCTTCAACATTTAAATTAAGGATTTATCCAGGCGTAGTACTAGGCCTAGTTTACGAAGGTTTACATAATTGAAATTTACTTTATAGTAAAACGTAATTTAGACACATGTCTATAGGCTGGGTGATATAAACTGGTCACTACGGGAATAATGACCGTACTGAGACGCATAGACGAAAATAGACGCATTTGGATACCTTTGAGATCTTTCCTCATGACTTCCGTTTTCACATTTGTGTCCAAGTTCATTTCTTGCATCCTATCGAATACAATTTTGCATTTTCCATCTATTAAATCGAAAATAACAGATTTTTCGTTTTTGCTGTAAGCTTTCTCGATTGCGGCGTTTGTATGCTTGTGGTACTCTTCATGATCACCGGTTGCTGGATCCACGTAAAACCACTGTACACTCTTCGAAACCATTTCGGCATACTCCGCGTGCATTTCAGCTCTCTCTCTCTCGCCAATTTTTTTCAAAACTTGATATATTTTAGTAATCATGGTGGAAATGTCCTCACTGTGTCCAAACATGATAATACGGTTAAGTTCCTTATCAATAGTAACTTTAACATCGTTCACATCGCACCAGCGTTTTATTTCCTCAACTTGCATACTTGACAGTTTTACGATGTTTTCGTCGTCTAGTTTTTCTTTCTTCTTTTGCTTTTCAATGACGTTCAAAATTTTCTCTTTTGCAATTCCAACGGTTGCTTCGTTTTGCGCATAGATTTCTAAGAGAAGTTCTGTGGTTGTAACAGGAGTATTCTCTACCACTTTCAAGGCTGCGGGTGATTCTGTGCTCCAAAAATAATTTACAATCTTTTTAAACACTCCAGGCTCTTCGCTTTCATTAAACTTCTTTACCGATGCTTGAAATGCCTCGACAAGATCATCATCCTTTAAAACAATGCGAACAGTTTTGAGTGACCCAGTGCTTGACTGAAGAAAACGTACGACCGATGAAAAAATTGTTTTAGCAGCTTTTCCCGGGTCGTTTTTTAAGGAGCCTGTTCCAACGGCGGGAAATGAAATGCTTTCACATTTTTTTTCCGTAACTCTATTTAGGCAGTTAGTGATACACTTTTCAATCTCACTGAAGGAGGGATCGTTAGAAGCAACCATGTGAGCAACGTATTTAGCATCCAATCTTCCTGCGGTTGTTAAAACTGTAGTTGCATTGAGTAGTTTATATGAACTGCCTATATTTTGGGATGCCCTTTCAATATCATTTCCTCCAGCTTTCACAAGAGCAATGGCGACCCCACTTCGCATGAACAGGCTTGGATTGGTCAAGTGAGCAATAACATCTGATCTTTCTTTCGTAATATCACCTTTAACAATCTCCACCTTCTTACCATTGCCAATTTCAACACACAAGTCACCTTTTTCAACTCCAACTCCAACTGGATTCCTCTTCCACCTCTTTTGCTGACCATCTGATACCTTTCCAACAGACACACCGCTGCCCCACTCTGATTGTCTCTTTATTTCCTTCTTAAACGCCTTAATCGACTCTGAATCCCGACTGTAGACGACAAAACTAACTTCCTCGATGCTGGAATTTGGAACTCTTTTCTCGAAATCCTTTGTTTCTTCGAAAAATATTTTAGCCGCGACATCATGTGGAAATCCCAATACTCCGGTTCCAATTGCTGGGAATGCGATGGACTTCTTACCATTTGAGTTGCACTTCTTTAGGCATTTTTTTATGATCACCCGTAACACCTAGAGCAATTAATAACCACTTATCAGGAAGGTTTTAAAGAGGCTACAGTTCCGCAAATCGTTGGGTATATATTTTAGTCGCCTTTACTACAAGCCATGCGCTTTCTTTGTAGATATAATTGTGAATATAGACGTACCTTCATAATATTCATTATTACGTATTTGAATTCAGAAAATTTTCTAGTTAGCCAATTCGTCCAGTTGGCCAAACTATACGTCTATATTTCTATATTTACAAAGAAAACGCCACGACTTTGTTGGGCAAACTACATCTCAGCCCAGAATTTTGTATTCCACCAAACCCTGAACCTAAGAGTTTGCAAACAAGAATTGCGCCTTTATAAAAAGGTACAACCAAATTATAGCGTCTAGTTTTGGCTCTGTTAATATTTGTGGTTTTACATGCTATAGTTTAGCAGATTACTAAGAGATCTACTGTATAAACAAATTAAAAACTTCAATCAAGTGATAGTGTTTTTCAAGCATTTTTGGCATTAGGTTGAGATTTTGAACATTATTCTAACGTAAATTAGGACCGAATTGATGAGGGACAAATTGTCTTATAATTAATTTTATACCTCTTCTCCTTGTCCCCTACGCCACTTATCACAAACAACGTGAAAGACCTCGTCGCAAAGCAAATTTCCTCCCGTGGTGACAGCTACCTGACCGACGTTTAACTTGCCAATCCTTCTACATTCGGATTGCAGCGTTGGACCGGCCTCATAGCTGAGGGCTTTGCTGCATGGGTTAGCTTCAAGGTCAAGAGTATGTCCCGTCGTGTTGACCAGAACATCGGCCTGTAAAATAGAATTAGGCAACATAAATTACTCAGGACCAGATAGTACGTGGCTAATTATCTTATAATTTGCAAAGAGACATTCGGATGAAACATAACTAGCCTGTTGCTTTTACATAACGTTGATGTAAAAATACTAAGAAAACTGTGCAACGCTACAAAATAATTAGTGTTGAATGTAATTTCAATTTTTTGCATCACCTTATATGTTGCCAAATCTCCAACCACCACTGATATTTTCATGTTCTGTGTAGTAAAAATAGAATCATCAGACTTTCGTTTTTGCAAATCGTCTTGTATGGATACCGCTTTTCGCGCGGTTTCTTTGGTCACACTCTGAGAACTTGGTTTTAGAGAAGCATAGAATCTGCTATTGGCAGGCTTCTCCTCATTTCTTATCAATGAGGGTCGTCCACCAAATTTCTCACGAAATTTCTTGACAAAAACATGTCCACTCGCGTCATCGTTGTTGACAAAGTGAATCTCCTTCACGCTGGAATCCTCGTGATTCCTACTAAATTTTTCGGCGGCTTCGATCATTATTTCAGCGCAGACGTCTTTAGGAATACCATAAACACCACTTCCGATTGCAGGAAGAGCAATCGATCGATACTTTATCGCTTCCTCAAGTGCTCTCGTGCAGGTGACACTTAACAATTTGCATATTTTTTCACGATTGCTAGCATCCCAACGAGGACCGACAGCATGGACCAGAACTTTACAAGGCAATTTTCCTGGACTTCCACTGAAACATTGACCGTCGAAAAGCTTTCCATTTTCTTTGACGTGTTCGTCGCATTCGTCTTGTATCTCTCTTCCTCCGGCATCCAAAATGCTCTTTGCCACTCCACCAATATGTTTCAAGTCGCCATTAGCTGCATTCACGATGACGTCACAGGGATGTGCCGTAATATTGTCCTTGTACACTTTCAGCAAGATTTTTTCTCGAGTTTCATGACTGCAGAGTAATTTCGAAGTTGGTTCTGCTGGAGGGGACTTAGTTGACGAAATCATCGTTGATTCACTTTCATTTTTTTCTGTGAGTCGGACCAAGCATTTACTCTTTGATTGTACGACTTCGATAAAGTCTTTTCCTTCTTCGGATTTAAAAAATTTCTGATCTCTTTGTTTGTCAACAAGACTGTACCAGTGCTATCGTCGACACAACTTTATCCAACTGCCTAGTTGCGTTTTTGACGCCCTCTTTCGTACCACATACGATTAGTCTTTTATCTTCTTCTCCAAAGTATACTTTAACATAATGTTCTTCGAAATTATTTCCGATTGCTTCGAGTTCCTTTTTGCAGTAAAGCTGTAAATATTCTTTATAACCAACGCCCAAACCAATACTTTCCTTCACAATTGTATTGCGCTTCATAAATTCCTTCAAACTATCAAAAACTTGTTCCACCTCTAGTTTCTCACCAATTAACGAAATTTCTGGCGGACTTTTATCGGTGAATATCATAACTGAGGTACCAGTCATAACACTTTTATAAAATGCTTTCCATTTTTCACTGTTGAGTAGAGTGCGGCTGTCTTCGTCAAGCGAATATTGTCTTTCATACATGCATCTTCTTAAGTAGTCTTCAACATCTTCAGATTTTGCGCCGTCGAAAACATGTATTTTAACATTGTTATTCTTTTTCTGGCTGAGGGAAACCATTCCTCTCAAACGTATTGCCTTCATCCCCTTATTTACAATGTCAAGTCCCCCGTTCAGAAGAAAAAGTCTTTCATTCTTAGAAAGGTCAACATTGTCTTCTGTAATTTGTGAACATTTCTTCAGGAGCTCCTCCGTAGCCGTGGAAACATGTTTCCCTGTTCCTTTCAATGTGATAGTATCTCTACGTGGCCCGAAACCTACTTCCACATAAAAATTTTTTCCCAGCATTTCGATAGCACCATGAAGTGAGAGCAACTCAAATTTCGTTTTAGCAACATCAGGAATCATTTTGGTAACAATATTTAATTGCTTTTCCATTTCGGCCATTGCAAGTTGAAACTGATTTTGAACTTCAGTAACTTGACCTTTTTCCCCTGCAATTTCTATTTTTTGTTCGTTTTTATCTGTTTTTACAGTAATGTTGCCTTGGTTTGCCTTCCTTATCATATCTTCTAACTCATTCCGGAAACTTTCCAACAACCTCTTGCCAATTGGTATTTTCTCGACTGTAAATCCAGCCAAGTATGCTTCGATTTCATTTGCCGTGTCGCTCGGGAAAGTAAACTCTTCATTATTACTTTTCAAAATTTCGAGAGCTTTATCCCCAAACCGATCAAAAATTTCTTTTTCACAATTCTTTAAAACATGATCCAATACATGTGTGTCTATCTTTATCATCCTCGTGGTTGTTTCTGTTATTGTTTCCATGAATGGATAGTGTTGACGTAAGGTTAAAACGGATTGATTTAGTCTGTGCTCTTTTGCGTTTAAAGTCCTGACGACTGCCAAAAAATAAAGGATAGGAAAAATTTAATATCCCAAAGGTTTGCTAAGTTGACATTAATTACATAGCTAGCGTTCCAGTCGATGAAAAACTAATTGTATTTTCGGCAATTAATTTTAGCATTCACTGAATTCATTAGCAAAAATTGCATGAATGTCAGTGTTCCCAGTATTGAAGTTTTTGAGGTAATTCTATAGTAATTTTAGGCATTTTCATTTTTCAAGATAGTTTTTCCAAAATAAAACTTCAGTACCTTAATTAAGTATATTTTCCTCCAAAGATTTTACGGTATAACTAAACTGATTCTTATAATCTTCAAGACATGCGTTATATGCAAGCATTGATTATAGAATAGTGCATATACGTCTAAAATAAACACGATTTTCTCATTTTACCATTTATCGGGTCACAGTATGAAACGACTGCTCTTCCTTTATCTTTTTGATATATAATATCCCCATATATCTTTCCTCCACCATTTCGTTCTGTCTCAAAGTACATCTCAATCGCTTGTTTGGTTGTCTTCTTAGAGAGCCCAGTTACTAAAATGCTGTTACATACTGGAGGATTGGAAATTGTTAACTCTGCTCCTTCCAAAGGCTTTTTACTGTCCAACACTTTTTTCATATCTGAAAAACAGAAAAACATACAAAAATTAAAAATTAAAAATTTGGCAAGGGTGAATGACGTCCTACCAGCTGCTCTGAGATAGCGACGTCATGAGATCCACGATGGATTGCATGTGGAGAAGGGATTTGTCGGATTTCTTCCTCCCAGAAATGTGAAATTTAATTTAAAATCTAAATTCAGTGAAAAACGAGAAATTTATTTAAAGCGGTTTATAGTATAATATAGTTAATATATGAAAGTAGGAAATAACTAGTTGGCTAATTTTCTTTGTGAGATCAGCTGAATTAGTCATTTTTTTCAATCATAAACTTTGATTCTCAGCATGCTTTGATCAGGTATTAAAATAACGTATCCTTGTACACACTTTGTGTCCTTGTAAAATGCGAATGCGTGCGAACTTCCCAAAAGGTGAGTAATGTGAGTATGTGAGTATTAAACCAATCAATTTTGTACAAAAATGCTATGTGAATTTTATGCCACTCAATGTGAGTAAAATACCAATCAATTTTGGCACTCATTTCGGTCTATTATTTCTGGTTATGCGCTGTAAAAACAGGTTTCTAAATTTGTAATGGTTGTAGTTTAGATTTGTAACGACAAATTTACAGTAGTTGTAGATTAGATTCATATCTTTTTCATTAAATCTATTTGGTAAAACAACCAAAATTGGTTGTATAAAAACAACCAAAATCGGTTGTATTAACTAAGGTTTTAGTTGTTTTTAGTTATTGTAACCAATAAAAAATGTGTTCTATGTGTTTTTATGTGGTACTGCATGTTGTGTGGTGATTTCATCGATAATCATGCAAGTATAGTTTTCATGAATGTTTGTAATGGTCCTACTCTAAGTTACCAACCGGGCAAGCTGAAAAATTAGCTTCACCGCGTTTGGAATCTTATCTTTGGTTTGCCAGTTCAATATTGCTCTTCCGAATGAGCTGGTAGGTCAGTTCACAGCTGTTCAAATAACAATTTCAACTAACAGTTATTCCATGCAGGCCCGTAGCTAGCTAATGCCCGACAGACTTCTTATGTACGCTGTTGTTCCTACGATATGTGAACATGAATATATGAATAACACGCCCGCCCCGATTAAGCGGTCAAGTAAGGTGACGGGTTAAACTTCACGCATGATGATTTGTGTTTTTACGTTTTCTTACGTTCAAAGCATATACAGCGTAAGTATAAAAAAACTGACACCTTTGAAATTTAAATTAGCGACTGTAATGTGACAGAAGTTACCTAAAATATCTCGGTTATACACTGTAAATCTCGGAGTGTTGGCACAACACCGAAATCGGTGTAAAATCTTGCAGCAATATGAACACTAATATGGTGTTTATTTACGCTATATTTTGGGTTAATTTACACTATTCATGGGTAGAATTTATGCAGCTATGGGTACACTATGGCGATGTAAATATACACCATTAGCGTAAACTAACACCTCTATAGGTTTTCCTACACCTATTTCGCGTAAAAACGCTTGCAGCAATATGAACACCAACTTCGTGTATAAATACACCGCGAGAGTAAACTTACCCCTCCCAAGGTTTTTCTACGCCTATTTAGTGTAAACGTGCTTGCAGCAATATGGACACCGACCTAGTGTATAAATACACCGCGAGGGTAAACTTACCCCTCCAAAGGTTTTTCTACGCCCATTTAGTGTATACGTGCTTGCAGTAATATGGACACCGATCTGGTGTATAAATACACCGCGAGGGTAAACTTACCCTTCCAAAGGGTTTTCTACGCCTATTTAGTGTAAATATGCTTTCAGTAATATAGACACCGATCTGGTGTATAAGTACACCAAAAGAATAAAAATGCTCTTCTAAACAATGGCCCGGTGCCACGAAATGAATTAATTCTAGTGCAGTGGTAAGGTAAAAACATATTTATTTCTATATGACAGAATATATTACATTATATTATATTGTACATAACAAATTTACAAACCAGCTATATAACATGGACTTATGCCTAATACTTCATGTTCACTGTTCCAGTTCATTTAAGAATAATAAAACTTTGGTTGGCACTCTTACCCGGTCAAAAATATTTAGAACAGTACGTTGTAAAAAAAGGAACGTGTTAAAACACTGTTTCGGGTACTCTAAATTACAAACATAATACAAAAACAAAAGGGACGATACTGCTGAAAAAATGTTATCTGTTTCCAAACAAACTTGTTTTTCCCCTGCAACAAACATTTTGTTCATTATGTGACCATCACTGTCCTCCACGAAGATGATGAATGGGCTGATGGGGCTGGCAGCTTTCTTCAACAATACCTCTGGGTTTTCTGCTGTCTACATTTGAAATAAAATTTTTTTTAAAAAATCATAACAAAGTCTTCATATTAAAACTATTCATGATTGACCACTTAACAGACCACTAGCTTACACTTATCATGACAATACATTTTTCCAAAAGGTGGTGTAATAACATTGATAAGCATTGACAAGGTACTAAAGTATTTATACATACCTGATAAAGGAAATTTTCTGGATGTGGATTACTTTTTGTTTTCCTTTCCAAAAGGTGTGGCAAGGTACAAAGTGCCACAACAACTTTCTCATCTAGGAACAAAGAAAAAATTACATAATTAATCTTAATTATTGCTCTGACTGTGTTAATAAAGAAGGAGAATAATCACAATAGGGTGTATATATTGAAACCACACACAGCATAATAATTAACTTTTGATAGAGAAAATATATTCATTTAAATGAGTATCAATGGGATTACCATCTGTCAATCTGTTCTCCTCATCCAGTTCATCCTCATTTTGTACGCAAGCTTGAACCAGTTCTTCAAGTTGAGGGAGTTTCTTCTTGCTGGCAGCTTTCCAAAATCTAGGTGCAAAGCTCACGTAAGTTTGTAACAACCAAATCTTTAACACTACTGCCAGACACCAATCTTTCATACTCATCTTGTAACTATAAAAAATCAATATAAGTTATAAGAGTAATTTAAAAGTAACTTATCAATCATATTACCCAGTGCCGGATTATATGTTTATGCACAGATATTACTAACTATATAATACTAACCTGATCATGTTCAAATAAAAAAGGGTATTTCGCATCAATTTCATTAAGGGAACACTTCCCAGCATTTATGTACTTTCTTCTGAAGGAGAAAGTCAGTTGCATTTTCTGCTTAACGACTTCCATGTTTGGGTGCTTTTTTCGGTACTCCTTCTGCATCCATTGAACATGGGCTTTGTTAGAATGTAGGTCCTCACCATCAACAGCAGGAGGTTCCCAATTTATTATTCCCCTTCGGCTGCTTCCTGGCACCTTAGCTGTCAAATCCGAGCCTTCAATTGACTTTCTTTTTCTTGCTAGCACAACTGGATCACTCCTTTCATGCCTTAATTCATTTTTAACTTTATCGCCTAACTGACGATACCAGGTTTCCTAAGGAAAAATTATATGGTCTCAGTATTTTTCATTAATACATGGTTTCAGTATTAACATACAAAGCAACAGTGTTTTCCCCTTCACATGTAAATCATCTGGCATCAGATATCAGGCCATGATGGGATTTCAATAAGGCTTGTGAAATAATATTGGTACATGAACTTTTCACAATCATAGTCCAATACATAATAAGCCACAGGAAATGTTAAAAAAGAGCAAACAAATAATTGCAAAAAATAATGCTAAATCATTAAAATATTACTTACATAGCTGCCACCAACATCTGCCAAGGAAGGATATTTTGATATAATTGCCCTACATACATCACGGCGTTGGTCAGGTGTTGGTGAACTAAAATGTATTAAAATGAATAAAATTAAATAACAAAGAATTCAGTTTAATGTGTCCTACATAAGCAAACCTACATACTGTAGCCCCAGAAGTGCTGGTCACTTCACTTTCATGCAACACAGTAAAAATAAGTATACATACATTGTAAAAAGGCATATCTTGTCATAAATCGCCTGGATAAATTTCACACGAATCAACTTTGGTAAGGCTATATTCTTTGACAAGGCTTCTTGTACAGCTGGGGGAAATCGTTCAGGTAGGCAAAATGGTGTAACCCAGGTTTTTCTTACAGTGGAGCAATCATTCCTAAAAAGAATTAATTTTGTGGATAATTCGTTAAGTCTTAACCTATTAAGCATTAGGTGTGTTTACTGAAACATGGGGGGGGGGTTAGGGGGTATTTACACACTGCTAGAAGTCACAGATAAACAGATAATTTGCAACTGTGAATTATGCTTTCAAAATTAGGCTAAACTTGCTTTACATGTTTTGAAATTGTTACATCTTAGTGAAGTAACGATCAGTTACATAAATAAGGACACCTGAATGTATACTCGATTTATACACATACCTTGGTATTGGCGAAGAACAACGAGGCGAATCTTGATCTTTAGAGTTATTTGGGCATTCTAAATCCCAAGGCAAACGTGACAAGCTACCACTGTTGCCGCTTTCAACAGACTCAGAATCACTCCTAACCATCTTCTTAATAACGCCTAAAAGCTTCATTCTTGGCCCAACTTTGTCGACAAGAGACTCGAGTGCATTCTCAGATAAAAGAGCGAGCGCTTCACCGTCAACATCCTCTTCTAGTTTCACAAATACAAATACAAACAGGAATTTATATTGTGACGAGTGATATGAACGCTAATATAATCAATCGGAACAACAAATAAACTAAATTGAGAATCTAAATAAGTAAAAGTGAACTAGCTCTGTAGGCTATAAACAACGATTAGCTTGGAGTATTTATCTCTATAATAAAACTCACCGATAAATTTATCACTAAACGTTTCAAATCCATTGAGTTTAAGCCATTCCGATACTTCTTCGCACGAATAAGCGATGGATGGGACCTTATCCATTATCGGAATTTCAAAAATTTTGTGATGCCGATATAAATAACAATGTTTCAACTTTCAACTGTCAAGAGTCAACACGTGTTGTATATAATCACTTATCTGTGTATATAACCCCAGTGTTTGTAAATAGGTTTGCAGTAATCACTATTGGTTTGAATCGCTTATTGGTCGGATTGTCTGCATTGTCTGAAACGTGATTGGTTTAGAATAGTGCGTTACGATTGGTCAAAGAAAATATCAACTTATAATTATCCTCTATTCAGCTGAAGCTCTGGCTTACAATATTTTTTAATTAAAATACTTTATTATCGTAACAATTTGGAACAAAAATGCCCTCGAAAATCGCAAGGTATTTAGGATGCTTTGTGACGTCGAACATATTATATTATACGAACATTATTATATACACAGCATAATCTTGTATCCACCGGCCCACTAGTGCATCCTCAGTGAGGGTCATGTTTTCGAAAGTGGAAGCACTGTTATTGTGTTTTTCGAACTTTTGGCATAGATGCAAATATTATTTTAATTTTTTATATTATTTTTATACCAGCATGGTTGGATAATGGCGAGTAGTTTTCTTTGTCCAAAACCGGAGTGTTTTCATCTTTCCTTTACTACATTCAATCGTTTTTTAAACCACCTACGCGATAATCACATTCATGAGCCAGGGTTCAAAATAAAATGTCCAGTGCAGTCATGCTTTCGCTCATATTCTGTTCTCTCCTCTCTAACTTCGCATGTTTCCCGTAAACATGGAAAGGAAAAAGTAATAAATGATGACGTTGGTTCAAGAAATCCCGAAAACGATGCACTAAACCGATTGGATAATACAATCGAATGTATACCGAAGACACCCAAGACAGGAGAGGCTTTCTCAAAGAGACATTTAGCTTTATTTGCCCTAAAGACGCAAGAATTAAATCAACTAACTGACAGTACAACAAACAAGGTGATAGATAATACAACAGAATTACTCCAACAACACGAGGCCCATGTTAAAGAAAAGATTAGACTGTGTTTGGATAAAAGTGGGATTAAAATCAGTGATATTGATGGATTGGGAGTTGTCATGAACTTGGAACAAACACCCAACATGGAATTCCTGAAATCCACTAAGAATAGGAACAATTATATATCTCAAGAATTTAAGATAGTGGTATGTATATAGTAATGTATTTTTATGTATGGTTGTAAACAATGTCTAACAATGTCTGATTAGTTTATATTAAATGCTGAGTGCATCCTTATCTTACTTATATTTAGAATCCAATTGAGATAGTCCTTGGGGAGAAATATATGTATGATGAGAATACAACGAATGGTTCATCGAAAGTGAAAGTGCATTCATTCCAGTACATATCATTCATCCAGGTCCTTCAACAGCTGCTAAATCAAATTGATGTTTACTCACAGGTCATTATTCATATAACAACTATAAGTGTCCTGGAAATTTATAATATGACTACCATAATAATATGACTACCATATTATGATATAATATATTTTAATTGATATTTTTTTTAGATTGAAAATTCTCATAGAAGTGTTGATGGGAAAATGAGGGACCTTTGTGATGGTGCTGATTTTGGAGTGGGCAAACATCCACTTTTTTCCTTAAATTATAAGGCTATCCAATTAATTTTATATTATGATGACTTCGAAGTTTCCAATCCACTAGGATCAAAAGCTGTTGTACATAAAATTGGTAGGTTTTTTTATTGTCACAAGATCAACAACTTTGCAATATTGGACTTTGATAGTTCAATTGGATTACTTTTTAAAAAAACACTGATCTGTCAATAAACATTTTCATTTTTATTTGCATACTTGCAGGTGCCTTCTATTGGGTGTTAGGAAATTTCCATCCCAAGTATAGATCATGCCTAAAAAATTTGAATCTTTTGATTCTTTGTCCAGTCAAGTGGATTAAGATGTATGGTATGGATAAAGTCCTCAGGCCATTCATGAGTGACCTTGCTATGCTTGAATCAGTAAGTAATGAATTAATACAATACATTTTATTGTGAATATCACCAATTATCAATATATTCAAGATTCCCTATTAAAGAATTTGCCTCAAGCTTGCCAAGAAATATGAGTTATAAATCTAATGCATCTCAAAATGTAATTTTGCTACTTTTTTCAGGAACATGGCGTACAACTCAATATAGCAAATCAAATTATTCCAATTAAAGGAACATTAAGTGTAGTAATTGCAGATAACCTTGGTAGCAATTCAATTGGAGGTTTCATGGAGAGTTTCAGTGCAAATCGGCCGTGTAGGTTCTGTCTGGGCACATCGGTGGAATTTCAAGAAAGGGTAATTTATTAATCATATCACAAATTGCAATGCTACTAAAATATTGTGAATCATGGTATATTAGTACACAGTTTTTTGTAGGAAATGCTATTGATATCATGAGATTTTAATGGGTGTTAATCAATGTTTGTTAATGTATGTTGTTCAGATTTGATTATACCAACCCCAGTATAATATCCAACTATTTAAATTTCCAGTTTTCTGAAGAATTATTCACGATGAGATCCCGAGAAAATTATGCCAGGCAGGTGGATTTGGTTTCCACTGATCCAGAATCAGCTTCTGTATATGGTGTAAAAAAGAACTCAGCCCTAAATGCTTCTAAATATTTCCATGTTGTTGATGGACTTCCTTCTGATATCATGCATGATATCTTAGAAGGTGTACTTCCTTTCCAAATTAAAGCGATGTTGAGAAAATTCATCATGGTGGATAAATTTTTCACACTTGATCAGTTCAACAACGCGCTTTCAGCATTCCCATATGGTGTTTGTGACATCAAGAACAAACCAAGCTTGGTAAAGAATGTCAATCTTAGTGATTACCATTTACGCCAATCAGGTATTTAACTATTTATTTAAGAGTTGCCTTAAACCTGAGGATGACTACATCAATCACCGGTCCCAAGTTCCCATAGTTCTTTTAAAAGTTCTTATAGAATCAGTGTTTAGTCAGTGTTTTGACATAATGCTAGCACTAATTGAGTTATATTTCAGCATCACAAATGTGGTGTCTTTCTAGAATCCTGCCATTTTTGGTTCACAAATGGATACCAGAAGGAAATGATGACTGGGAATTGTTCACTGATTTAATGCATATTGTTGATATATTGTTTGCCCCAGTGATTGAGAAAGGTACTACACTCTATCTTCGGCTCATAATCAGCGAGTATCTGGAACAGTTTAAAAGGCTCTATCCTGAAAGAAAACTTATTCCAAAACAGCATTTCATGGTTCATTACCCAAACCAAATTCTAAGGTATGTCTATATTGATCTGGTTCTCACAGGTGGTGGCTTCAATGCTGAACACCCCAGTACATTTGATAATTTTAATTATTTATTTTATATATTTTAGATATGGACCCCTTGTGCGCAACTGGTGCATGCGCTTTGAGGCTAAGCATCATTATTTTAAGCTTTTGGCGCAGACTGTAGGTTGCTTCAAGAATATAGCAAAGACATTAGCTACCAGGCACCAACGGCTTCAGTGTTACTGGCTTAGTGACAGTGATGGCTATTTAAGGAGTGATACTGAGGTTGGACCAGGTTAGTGAACAACAAAAGTGCATACTGGATATTAGCTGGAATTTTGTAATGGTTTTTAGGATGTTAAATGTTGTTATAAGTATCCTTTATTTCTACTTCATGTATTTATTAATATTCTGCTTAGGTAAAGTTTTTTATGTGAAGGATCTGGAAGAGAAAGAATGCACCTCACTGTGCCAGTTGGGCAACAATTTGGATCAGAATTCAACTGTGACACTGTAAGTTTGTTCTTATATATGGTAAAAATTATTTAAAACTGGACTGAAAAGTGAAAACTATATTCTTATTCTAGGTTGAATTGGGTGAAAGTCAATGGTTACAAGTACAAAAAGAATATGATCATAGTCTATCAGCAATTAATTTTTCCTGTGTTTCTTTTTATACATAATGTTTTTTTTATGCCAAACATGGATGTTATGTTTTCTTGCAAGAAAGTAAATACAGTTGCTTTTAGCAGGCACATTCATTGCTATGAGGTTGAAGTTTTGGACGAATTTGTGCCCTTATTATTTTCTGGGATGCTAGATCATCATCCTCTAGATCTTTATACCATTATTGTAAATAGAGAATCAAAACACTTTGTAAGAATGAAGTACGACCTATCTGATGCTGAACAATAGTATACATATGTTAAAGAAATTATTAAACATATTAAAGAAATTCAGTAAATAAATGAATTGTCTGACCCATAATACTGTGCCTGCCTGGAAACATTTAACGAAAAAACTGCATGTGCATGCCTGCTTAGGAACATTTGACGAAAACACGTTTTCGTACCTGGTATACAAATTGTTGTGACCCAGGGTCTATTGGTCTCTTAGTATGTAGTCAATTCCCATTCGTTTGTATCTATACAACCATATATACTCTTTTATTTTGCAACAAATCAAGCATTTTCCGTCGCGGTCTTAATTTATAAGGCATTGAATTTTGTACACAATTTAGATGTAAGTTTACGCTCTTCAAGTGCAATTTTGAAAACTCATATCGGGTAAATATACACCGTAGACGGTAAATTTACAACGCTCTCGATGTTTAATAACCTTGCTTTTACTTACACCAGATCACGGTACATTCACGTTTTTTTGGTGTATTAATACAAAAACCAAAGTGTAGATATACACTTATCGAGTGTAAGCATATCTTACACTAAATAGGTGTATACTAACGCAACCGTTCAGTGTAATATAACCTGAGCAGTAGGTAAATGTATGCCATTTTTAGGTAAAAAAACACCAAATTTGGTGTAACCTAGGTTTGTTTGTTTTTACACCGAGAAAGTGTTACAGAAACGCTAGCATAGTGTAGAGTTACGCTTTTTAAGTGTATTGCTACACTCCAATGGTGTTTGACTTGGCAAAACACCTAATCGGTGTTATCCTACACCAGTTTCGTGTTGGCGTAACACTGCGAAATTTACAGTGTACGAAGCATATCAAATAAGTGAATCGTTAATTAACCTTAAACATAAAGTTTGTTCCCTTTGGGAGTCAAAATGCATTCTAAGCTCTGTAAACAAAAAAGAACAGTTTTATCAAATTGCTTTTCTAGCACACGTACGCGTCACGTTGAATTAATTCAATTGGTTTAAACACTTTCGCATAATTAACCACGTCCTGTTGATCGTACACATGGGTCTGTCATAGGAATTGTTAAATTCTAGCCATAAGTTTGCGGCTAATTTGACATTAAAATGTGTCAGTTTTTTTACTCACCCAGTACAGGGTGTATAAAAAAATGTACCCTCTATTGAAATTAAGCTTCTGTTGGAATTTGAATGCATGATTATATATTGCACTGATAAATAGCATAGTAAGGGGCTGTTTACATGAGCCCAGTTACCCGAGATTCAACGAAGCGTGAGGGGACTTTGAGGTATTGAAATAAGTCTTAATGACACCAAACAATCGCATGAGTATTGTTGTGGAGATTATTCGACTGCCAGGTTGATGTTATCTGCTCATTTCAATACCTCAAAATCATCTCACGCTTCGTTGAATCTCGGGTAACCGGGCTCATGTAAACAGCCCCTAATTTGGTTAAGGTAATTCAAATTGAACGTCTGGTTTTACATTTCAAGCACCCATACGTTTGGCGTAATAATAAGACATTCCAATTCGAACAAAAGCTTGATTTTAAAAGAGCGGACTTTTTTCTACACCCTGTATACTCTATATCAAATGTCGTTATATCAATTTATTATTCACGATATTACCTGGTTCTTCGTTGAATGTTATAAAAGCATTTCCATTATCACCACGCTGTATACCAGTCACATCCAGTTTCGTTCTTACTACCATATAATTCCACAAGCTGTCTTCGCTTGTATTCGGGTTTATATTTTCAACATACAACTTTTTCCTATCCAGAGGAAGAAATAATTCCGGTTGCTTTTCTCTTAGTTGCAAAAGATACCCATCCAGTTCCAGTTTATCCTGCTCTAATACTTGTGCCGCAACTGAAAAAATACATGTACATGAGATGTAATTTTTGAAGTAGTTTACTTTTAATATAAATACGTTTGTTAGTATAAAATTTACAATGCAATACATCGATCATGCAATACATAAGAATACTTGAGGTTTTGTGTTGTGTATGCAACAAAAGTCGTACGTTCAAGCTTTGCTGCTCAGAGAAATATCGCACATTTTGGAACTCTTTTTGTGTAGTGCATTGAACATTAAAGACGACGAGAATCAAGCCCCATTATTCCCACAACAAATTTACACCATGAATTTAGGTTTCATATTCATGAAATTGGTACGGATGACATTTGAACCATCTATTTAGGTAACGTTTCTAAAAGGCTTAAGGTTCTAAAATCATACAAATCTTAAGTTCAAGCCAGGAACAGCTAGTTGAAGAAGCTGCACTATTGCACTTAGCTATACAAGCGTTTTCGTCCGTATGTCAATTACGAGAAAGTTGTTTTTTTAAGCTTGTATTAATGTATATTTTGTTTCTGAACATCGATATCGGACCGTGAACACACATTACTGCATAACGATTTAATACAATTAAGTAAAATTTGTTAACACCTTCAGCACTGGCAAAAGTAATATGAGCAACGCCTGGTTCCAGTCTCTCCAGGTTCTCTATTTCCCCTCCACAAGACCTTCTGCTACTTTCAAACAACATTTTTACAGTTTCGTTTGTTGAATCTGGGCAAAGGCCACTTACGATAACAGTTCGAACTTCGCCAAGACGGGCTTTCTCGACGTCTGGTTGATTCGGTAACTAAAGAGTTATGTTTCACATACTGAAATAATACGATGTATAGTCACACAAAAACACTGATACGTCAAGCAATCGACCAATGAAAATATGCCCATACAATAATTGCGTAGGGGGAAAAATTATTTCATACCATGAATCTTTGATAAAATATTTGTAATCGCGTGGATCTCAAAGCAAGAACCACAGTGACCGCGGAGCAGGGTGGCTCGCTGGGCTTTAGCCCCACCAATAATTTTTCCGTAATTAGTCTTTAATTTCGAATATTTTTTAGTTCGCTCAAATTTACAAGCAATACTTTTAGCAATTTGTATTTTTTGCTTACAAGTATATGCAGTGTATCTTATCTTGAGCATGCACTATCGTAACCTTTACTTCTTCAACGTATATTTTAATAACCAATTCAAAGAAATGAGTATTTCAATTTCCAACGATATCTATCGTAATAAATCCGCCTTGTTTACAGATGGATTGAAATTAGTTCTGTAAAGTACACATGTTTGGCCAAAACAGAGACTAAAAGGCCAAGCATTTAACCATTATAACAGCGTGGTTATCCATGTCAAAATATTTCACATCATAACCAAAGCATGGTTATATTTTCTGGTACATTCGGCCATTGGTCGAATATACCATTCATACCATTTTCCGGTAAATTCGTAGTCGAATGTACTGTTTTTCCGTATATTCGACCATGGTCGAGTATACCGTGCCAAACATGCAGGAAACTAAAAACTTTACATATAGGACAAGCATTTGACCATTAAAACAGCGTGGTTTCCCTCACAATTTAATCCTTCCGCTTAAGACATGCGCGAACCCAACAACTACAGCGCAATGTTTGTATATGAGCGCCAAACATGCTGGACACTTTGGAAAGTATCTATTATTTTTCAATAATCCTTAAATTGAGAGGCATTTGCCGACATTTCAGAGGCCTATGTATATTTCAAAATTTTCCCGGACTCTCCGGCTAGCAAGCGCGCGGTTCGGAGCCCCAGCAATACGAAAAACGCTCTGCGGTCCCTGTACACCATATATATAAGGCAAAGACTAAATTTAGGAATGTAAGTAACGCACGTATTTTCTTTTCTGAAACTCCTCGTAGTCAGTAGGCTTCGATTCTGTCTTTTTAGTTCGTGGTTTTGGAGTTGGCTTCTTTGGTTTATCTTCGGCGGATATCTCCAGCTTGTAGCCATCAATTTCATGAATCTTTTTTAAAACATTATCTAAATCTTCAAAAAGGAAGAGATTCGAGGTTTGCGTGGTTATGCAATGTCTCATTTTTAATATAGACTAATTTTTAATCTAGGCAAAAACCGGGTGCCAATAAATACGAAGTTGGTTGCTAGATGTTGCGAATGTATACACCATTCATAGCTTCTAGAATGATGCTGTACGCATTTATGCATGCATGCCGCTGGCTCGCAGAGAATCGGATTATTCACACTCAGAGAATGGCGGAATTTTTCGACTAAACAAAATTTTTCATTATGAGAATTCGACCGTAGCGACTAGCCATAGTTACTATGGACTAGTGGATAGATCTGAGTCATCGGACAGGATCCATCAGTGTTCAATCTTGCCGATAACAGCTCAATTTGGCCAACGTTCACTGTTTCGATTTTGAAAAAAAAAGTGGAAGCACGGGGACGTGCAAGAAACATTCGAAAGAACACGGGACATTTTGAAAAGGGTCTTCAAACATTATACTATAAATATGTGAAACTAATCCATTTTTTCTGCTCAACGGAACTACAGCTAGGAAAGGCTCACGAAAATTGTGAGTAACTGATTTAATCATTCAAAGCTTACATATATCATGTATTTATCAAGTAATTGGGGATGTATTTTTGTTGTAGTTGACTTCATTATTTATTCATCTGTGTAATGTCTTCATGATGGCACAAGAATAAAAATAAGTACAAAAAAATAAGTGGCCTAAATCCTCTGGGAAGTCCAATAAAGTAGTGCTTCGAATCGAAAGTGCGAAACAGTCAAAATTTTCGTAAACAAGTGGACTTGCCAGCTTGCAACAATCGGGGCGTAAACTTTGGTGACAAACTAAAGCTTTCAAGGATAACCGACAGGAAATATACAGCGACTGACCGTCCTTTGAAAAATCCTGAAGAGCAAGAGTTGTTAGAAGTCTTAGAAAGGTCAGAAATCTTTACTTTGTGTACTTTGCCTACGAAAAAACCTACGAAATATAACTAAAATATAGCCCCGTGGCTTGGACAGCGTGCGAACACAAGAACGAGGCTCATTAATTATACAAGACTGAATATTAAATCACATCGCCCAAAATGCCACCGAAAACTGTGGATTTGAAGACTCTTCTGGGAAAAAGGGACAATGCCATCCAAATTATCAAGGAATTATTTGAGGAATTTGATGAAATCTTTAGTATAGAACCTAAAGTAGAAAGATTGGAAAGTACATTTAAAATCATTGAAGCAAAATATAGACATATTAAGAAGCAGCAAGAATTAATAGCTGACAAAATTGTAGAAGATAGTGGAGGTGAACAAGCTCAATTGTTATTAGATAATCAAAAGGTTGGTGAAAGCTTGAAAGATAACTATCTAAAAGTTGCAAAAGCATACGCCGCTTATCAAAAGAAGCTAAACCAACCTTCACCTCCTACCGCTAATCCTGATTCATTGGAGATGATGACATCTGCTGTAACAAGAATGGCTGAAGCTATGCAATCTTCGAAACCGAAGACTAGTGCTCTTGAGAAGTTACCAGTACCAACCTGGGATGGTAGTCGTAGATCGTATTCAACATGGAAGAAAGAATTTAATCATTGGATGGATAAATGCTCTCAAGATAAGGACGAGCAACTTCAACGCTTCAGAAAAGCAATGCCAAGAGGTTTTTGGTGGACAGACCAAGTTAAGACGTGCAAATCAATAGATCGTGCATGGGAGATCCTTGACATTGAGTTCGCTGATAAACGAAAGATGATGGACGAGCTATTGGGACGAATCAACAACCAGAAATCCGTGAAAGGAGATTCTAAATCACTTACACGATATGCAACGCAAATAGCAGGCTACGTCAACGACATGGAAGATAATGATTGCTCAGTGGCGACATCTTCTGAAGCCCCGTTCTTTATGTCTCAACTCTTATCAAAACTTGATCCAAGAGATAATGCAAACTTTGGTAGAGAGATGAAAAGAAATAAAAGGGAAGAAAACGTTTCAAATCTTATTCAGTGGCTACACGATGAAGCAAGTCTTAGATCAAGAGGAAAGTTTGATACAGAAACCAGCAGTGAGGAACGAAGCCACCAGCGAGGGATTTACAATCGAAGAACTGACAACCATTCGGGGGATTTCGATGTTTCTAAGGATGGTCCATGTCCATTTGGTTGCGAAGCAAAACACGGGCTAGCTGCGTGTCCTTACTATCAGTCATCAACCGTAGACAAAAGATGGGAGATTGTCAAACAAAATCAAAGATGCAGAAAGTGCCTACGACTTCATCATACCAGAGATTGCAAGAAACTCGACGGTGTCACCTGTGATAAATGCAAGAAGAATCATCATCGATCCCTCCACAATGACGTGAGAATTCCAGAGAATTCAGGCCTAGATCCCAATGTGCCTCCATTCCAAGATCCAAACCATAATGCTATCAATAACAACGCTGACACAAATACCGTTAGACAGGGGCATGAAATCAAAACAGTAGCAGGACTGCTTCCAATTCAAAAGGTCAAAGTCGAGAATTCAGAGGGTGAGTTCATCGAAATGCTTGCCATGTTAGACTCTGGTTCGAATACTAGCCTCCTCTCCAAAACAGCAGCAAAGAAGTTAGGATTGAGTGGCCCCCAAACACACCTAACCATGAATCTTGCTGGAGGTAGTAAAAGATCTGAAACGTCAGAGATTATCGGCATAACCCTGATGTCCCCTGTTGAGGAACATGTCAAGAAACCTCTTCTGGTACACACTGTCAGCAGACCATGTAGCAGTGCAAAAAACGAAACATATCGAGAGTTCCTTACAGAAATACAAACATCTCGAGCCAATCATAGGAAAACTTCATTTATCAGGCGGGAGTGTTGATTTACTACTAGGAACTGATTTTATAGATGGATTTGTTGATGTTCATGTTATATCAGGTGAAACAAGTGAACCTATAGCGAAGATGAACTGTTTTGGGTGGTATGTTCTGGGTCAGCTTGCTCCCAACGATCAGAGTATCCAGTCTATTGACGTTGGAACAATGAGTGTGAAGGAGAACATTGACATTCTTCTGCAGCAAGACCAACTAGGTGTCAAGCCAACAAAGTTTTGTACATGCACAGACAACGAATTACGGGAAAACAAGTTTGTACGATCGTTAACTGAATCAACAACCCTAGTGGACGGTCGCATACAAGTGAGGATGCCGTGGAAGGAGATCGGTCCACCTAAGAAAAGCAACTACGACATTGCCCTCAAGAGAATGTATTCCACTGAGAAGTCTTTTAAAGGAAAGGAATGTACCGATGTTGTTGCTGAAGAAGTCCGGAAGCTGGTTGGTCAAGGTTTTGTAATCAAGATCCCACCAGAAGAAGTCGATCACACAAAGCCCGAATGGTATCTGCCACTACAAGCAGTCTTCACCCCTGAGAAAACAACAAAACTGCGACTCGTCTTCGACTCCTCATGCGAGGGACGTGATGGTCTTTCATTGAATGATCACCTCGAGAAGGGACCCAACTACATTAACAAGATCCCGGAAGTCCTCGCAGCATGGCGTTGGGACAATATTGCATACGCAGGAGATGTGAGGAAGATGTTCAACCAAATCCTCGTGCACCCAGATGACCAAGTCTTCCACAGGTTCCTTTGGAGAGAAAAACCCATCGACGAACCCACAGTGTATCAATGGCTCCGTCTGAGCTTTGGTGACAAGCCAGCACCTGACATCGCCACTAAGTCGATTAGAGTCTTAGCTGAAGCAGCACAACAGCAAGAACCTGAAGCAGCAGCAGAATTGCTTCAACACGTGTACGTGGATGATGTTGCGGGATCCAAATCAACAGTCGAAGAAGTCAAGCAAGTAACCACAGGCATTGATTCAATTCTCAAAAATGGCAAGTTTGAAATCAAAAGCTGGCATTCAAACAGTAAAGAAATTGACCAATCTGAAGAGGAAAGGGTCACGGATCTACTTGGCCATAAGTGGGATAAAGAGACGGACAGGTTCACTTTCAAAAGAGAGGAAATTTCCGAACTGTGTGAAACGCTAACTAAAAGAAATTGTCTTGCACTCCTGGCTAAACTGTGGGATCCTATTGGTATGATCGCACCCGTTACGATAAAATTCCGGATCGATTTGCAAGAACTGTGGTGCGCAGGTTATGGGTGGGATGATCTCATGTCGGAGGAAGTTCAAAGAAACTGGAAGGAGAATCTAAAAACAATGAACTATCTTCTATCGTTAGAGTTTGATCGCAAGCTAAAGCCTACGAATGCGAATGCTCCACCAGAAATTCATGGATTTTCCGACGCGGGGAATCAAGCATACGGAGCGGTATTATTTCTCCGCTGGGAATTAATAGACGGTAGCTTTGTTTGTGTACCAGTCATTGTCAAGGCTTTCGTGGCTCCAACCAAGAAGAAGAGCATCCCAAGGCTGGAACTGTTAGGCAGTTTAACTCTTGCAAGAATTTACGACACCTGTACGAAGATGTTAAAGTTTGCCGATATAGAACAAGCCAAGAAATTCTTATGGGTTGATTCGACAACAGTTTTATCCTGGATTAAAACCCCACCCAAAGAGTTCCGACCCTTTGTATCTGCGCGAGTTGCCGAAATTCAGGAAACTGTCGGTTCAGAGGACTTCCATTACGTTCCATCAAGTGACAATCCGGCTGATGCTCTTACTCGTGGACTTGATCCGAAACGTCTCAAAGATTGGTTAACTGGCCCATCATTTCTCAAGTTGCCAGAAGCAGAATGGTCGCATTCGCAAAACAAGTCCAGACCAGAGATCGATACTGCAGAAACCAAAAAAGAACTAAAGCCTGAAAAGAAGCAATTGAAGGACAAGAAAGTTCGTACCGTAGATGTCAACGCAACCGCAAAAACGGACAATCCCGAGAACCATGGTAAAGAGAGAACCACTGAAACGAAAGCGGAAGAAAATCCTATTCTGACACATCTGCTAACGCGATGTTCCTCGTTCTTAAAAGCGCGACGGATTCTAGCCTATGTCAATCGGTTCGTTCAGAACGCAAGGCGACGTAGAGAAACAGGAGCAATAACAGTCAGAGAATTGGAAAAAGCTGAAAAACAGCTATTTCGATGGAGTCAGTTTCAACTCGATGTCAACACCCTCAACAAGCAAATTAATGCAAAGCAGGATGACGACGGACTATTTCGTGCACATGGGCGGCTTGAAGACATCAGGTCTCTACCAAGTGACATGCGAAACCCTGTTATCTTACCACGAAATCACCCCCTGGCATATTTGCTCCTTCGACATATGCATGAGACCAGACGACATTGTGGATACAAACGACTCATGCATGAAGCAAGAAAGAAATTCTGGATGATTGGACTACGCGGAATGGCAAAGTACCTCACCAAGAAATGCATAATCTGCCAGAAACTACGAACCAAACCTCTCGAACAAATTATGGGACAATTACCAAGTCTCAGAGTAGCATCGGGGCTACCACCATTCTGTAACACGGCAATGGACATGTTTGGTCCGTTTCATATTAAGTTGAATCGAAAAACGCTGAAAGAGGCACAAGTTATCATATTTACATGTATGACGACCAGATCAGTGCATCTAGAATTAGTAACCGACAAGAGCACGGATACGTTTCTACTGGCATTCCGACGTTTTGCTTGTTTACGCGGACATCCCAACACGTGTTGGTCCGATTGTGGTACAAACTTTGTTGGTGCACAAAGTTACCTTGACGAAATCATGCAAGATTGGGATATTCCGAGAATCCAGAGTGTCCTCTCAGAAGAGTTCATGTGTGACTTCAAGTGGAAATGGAACACTCCACATGCCAGCCATCAGAATGGAGTAGTCGAATCCCTTATAAAATCTGTGAGACAGGCTATGAATTTTACGTGCAAAGAACCAGCTTTCACCGAAGAGCAGTGGAGGACATTTCTAGCTGAGATTACCTACCAGATTAACAGTCGACCCCTGTACCCCAGTTCTGATTGTATTTGGGAGACTCCACCGATCACCCCAAACGACATCCTTTTGGGTCAGCACAACACACCACCACAACCGGAATGGGAAGAAAAGGTAAACCCAAGAGATATGACCAGAAGTACAGAGAAACGAGTAAGCGATTTTTGGTGCTGTTGGATGAAGTATTTTGCACCAAACCTTCTACCAAGAAACAAGTGGTTCAGGACAAGAGAAAACGCAAAGGAAGGCGACCTTGTCTTAGAGTTGGATTCAAAGCACAAAAGATGTCAATGGAAGATGGCAATCATTATTAGAACATATCCCGGAAACGATGGATGTGTGAGAAAGGTCCGAATTAAGAATGCCGATGGAGAATATGACCGGCCAATACACAAACTTTGTCTCATCGCGACGAAGGAGGAACTAAACGACAATGAGAACAAAAACTGAATAGTTGTCTATGTATTAAAGTAAATGTTACATTAGCATGTTGATATTTGTCGTTGCTCAATCAGTTCAAGGAACATTATTTCCGCACTGGGGCGGAGTGTTTCGATTTTGAAAAAAAAAGTGGAAGCACGGGGACGTGCAAGAAACATTCGAAAGAACACGGGACATTTTGAAAAGGGTCTTCAAACATTATACTATAAATATGTGAAACTAATCCATTTTTTCTGCTCAACGGAACTACAGCTAGGAAAGGCTCACGAAAATTGTGAGTAACTGATTTAATCATTCAAAGCTTACATATATCATGTATTTATCAAGTAATTGGGGATGTATTTTTGTTGTAGTTGACTTCATTATTTATTCATCTGTGTAATGTCTTCATGATGGCACAAGAATAAAAATAAGTACAAAAAATAAGTGGCCTAAATCCTCTGGGAAGTCCAATAAAGTAGTGCTTCGAATCGAAAGTGCGAAACATTCACACATAGGACTGTCGCTAGAAGCTTAATTCGTGCTGCCTCGTACCCAGGCGCTTATTTAAAATTAGGCTTTTTAATATATTAAGCTTAAATGAAGTAGACCAGTTCACAAAGCTTTTCTAAACAAAAAGTTGCCATCATACCATACATTCATTTATTCATTATTACTTAAAAACATAGGAACATAGGTAAACATAAACAAAAAGTTGTATCATACCATACATTCATTTATTCATTATTACTTAAAAACATAGGAACATAGGTGAACGAATACATACTTGAAACGTGAGTACGTTTACTTTTTGGCAGGCCCGCACTTTTCGACTTTGGCGTCAAGTCGTGTTTTAAGCTTTGACCTTGTGAAGCATCCGGCGATGAGGGTCGTTGAAAATTGCATGCAATACGTCGTGCTGATCGACGAGCAGCTCTTGGTTCGTCTGTGGATCATTAAAAATAATCAGAGAGGTGAAAATGTAGACATAGAAGGTTAATAAAAGGTGCTGTATATCACAACAATCCAGCAGCTTGTCGAATTTTTCATACCTTGAAGATTTAATCTATCCAAAACATTGTCGACCTCTTCAAATGATGACATATTGCTGCTTCAGGGCATCAGATAAAAATATATACCACTTCTCACATGGCGAATGAATGTTTATTGTAATGAAGGAGATATTATTTTGTGAATAAAAGCGAATAAAAGCGGAAAAAGTTGCGAAACGACGTGAATTTAGATGATTTGCAAGAAATCGACTTTTATTGCAAGAAATCGAACAAGATCTGCCAGACGCTCCCCAGGGCGCAATCTTCCCATGAACACCTTCGCGCTTTACGCTTTGCTAAGTACTTCATTTAAGCTTAATATATTAAAAAGCCTAATTTTAAATAAGCGCCTGGGTACGAGGCAGTAATTCGTGTATGTGTAAAGCCTACCGGTGGTATAGCGGTCAAAACAATCCATATCAAAAGAGATACAGTCCCGAATTAAGCTTCTAGCGACGGCGATGTTAACACCACAACAATAGTCTTAGTATCCAAACACATTATCCAAAGCAATCTAATTTCCTTCCCTAGCTCAAAACAAGCATGACTCATGAGAGCAACAATTTCGGTATTTTTTTATGAATGTTAATATATTTCACACCACATATATATATTTATTTAAATATAAATAGAACATATATTTAAGCATATAAAATTTATATATTTATATAGTTTCTTTCGATTTCGCTAATAATAATCTCGATAATAATGAAAATTCAAAACGCTCCTCTAGGCTCTACTGCCGGTGTCTTTGACAAAAACCGTTTCTCCCGAGAGTGCCCGCTATATTAATATCGAGTTATAAACTGTAGTCTCCACGGTTTTAATATTATATTACTACACTACTTACATTCCTTCTTCTCAAACACTATGACTGCTTTGTCGCCATCCAATTTGCAAGCGTCATAGTCAACATCACCGCCGCCTGATTTTACCGTCGATTGAAAATATATAATCAAGTCGTCAAGTGTAATTTCACCCGGTAAACCTCTCACATACAATGGGAACATCTTATATCACCATTTCAGATAATTATGCTACTGAACTTCACAGTCTAAATCATTATAACTCTTTTACTTTAGATCAACATGGCAAATACAAATTCATTTGCGGTGGACCGCACTACCTCGTTCCCAGCGTTTTTCATTTATTTTCCAAGAAGACGGGGAGAATTCCAAGTATTGATATAACGATGACATCATTCCACAGCATACCCAAGTTATAAGTTCACTTTGCTAAGATGATTTCATGCTGTGGTTATATGAGAATTTTCTGGCCGCTTGGAAGTCGGAAAATCTGATTATTATTTTCAACACTTCGCGTGAATACTGAGTTTGACGTTAAACAGAATGAGAGTATTTAGTTTTATCGAACGAAATATGTCAACTGGTAGCGTAGTCTGAATGTAATGAGGTGAAGTTATTTGCATTCAATTCGGTAAATGAAGATTTCGACGTGACGGGCCTGCGCGTCAAATAGTTACGTAAGTTACCGATGTGTTAAACGTATTATCATAAATGATAAATTTTAAAGTTTTAGAGCCCATATTGTTCAATTTTCTAAGTTATCCGTTATTGAAATAGCTCTGTATACACTGACAACTGAATTAATTTACCCCAAGGACACCTGAAGCGTGACCCCAATAATAAAGACATTTTATTTTATACCTTTTTGCGTTAAAGTGTCCCTGACACAAAATGCAATTTTTACACCATTGAAAGTGCGTATGTGTCCGAGTATTGCGATGTTTTCTTACCGTTTGCTAACTTCTATCGAGTCAGCGAACTGCTCAGTGCTCACGCAGTTTCTCCTTAAACTCTACACGCTCACTCTGTTTAGTTGGAAGTCGATTCTTCGTCAGCCAGCGGCTCTTCGGAATATGCTAAAGCGGCCACATTTTCCGCGTCGTCATCTTCGCGTGTGCTGGATACCAGTAGTGACCTATTTCTAGTTGTGACCCCACAAAAATCACTAGTTTTAGTTTCCGGTTACGACGGACATAGGTTCAAAAATATTTGGATATAAACGACTCTATTTTTTTTCCTTTTTATGAGTCGAAAAATTATTTCACCATAATACTTGGACACATACCTACTTTCAACAGTGTAAAAATCGCATTTTGTGTCAGGGGCACTTTAGGCCCCGGTTATACAGAGGAGCAAGTTTTCTATGTTTATGAGCAAACTATATCAACCGATTCCTAAACAATACCCCGTATTTTCATCAAAAAAATTTTGAATAGAATTTGATAAATGAAGTTTAAGATATACAATGAGTAATAGAATAACGTACGGATTGTAAGGATTCCACCATGACTTGTAGATTTTTACTTTTCCAACTTTCCAAGATTTTTGCTTTTGTTGTTTCACAGAAAAGTATGTTTTCCTTCCTTGCACGTGGTTTCCAAGACGGGAATGCTGAAAACAGCCGGACTGATGCAGCGACTCCATAAGCCACTTTTAAAATTAACTCTGTGAGAAAAGTCTTTTGAGCGCAACTCTCGCAAAGCGACTAGTAGTCTGGCCGTCAGAGTCAATAATGCAAAACATGGATTGTTACGAAAACTAATTAGTAGATCTGCAATTGATGATGTCATTAATCAATATTGGAAGCGCGCGCAAGTCGGGATAGACATTGCAGGCGCAACGCATATTTTGTAATTTACTAAGCCGCAGGCATTACAATCCTAAATACATATCAAACACACTCGTTCTTTTCAGCTACCTCGGTAGCTCAGTGGAAAGCGGGTCGCACGGAATGCCATAGGTTTTATTCATGCCGGAGGACGGATAGTTGACCACTTTTTCCCTATTCCTGCATGCGTTGAATTTAAGTTGTGTGTTAATTGCAACAAACGGAGGACACAAAGTCAGCAAAACAAACCGCGGGCAAACTGAATATCTCAACACAGCAAACTTTAGCAACTTAAATCATAAGTGACAAGTTTTCTGACTTTAAGCACATAAATTTTCGCTTTAAGCTTAATAATTTCATTGTGTATTGTATTGTATTGTAGTGGCAGCCAGCATTAGCGCTGTACATTCGACTGATTTGGCGACAAAAAAACCTGCTCACTGAGATCAAAAGAGAGTTTATGCAATATTAATTCGAAATCATATAGAGATAGGAACAAGAAATAGATCGAATTACGTTATTATTATATTACAATCCTGACGTTATTACATATTCAGAAATGAAATCTTTAAAATGGCGCCTGTTAGCGCGCTTACGTTTTCCGCTGTACGATTACATGCATCACTATAGTTGCAAACTAAATTATCAGAGTAAACTTGTTGGCACGTTCACACGAGCAAATAAAACTTGTCAAAGAAAAAAATTCTCATAAAAAAATTGTTGTACATACACACTGCATTTGCCAATTAAAACTTGTCACATAAAAACTTTTCATACAAAACTTGCTCGTCTGTCATACAATCATTATTGATGGTCAAGTATGCAATATTTTTGGTAAAGTGTAAAGTATTAATTTTGCAGTATACAGTATTAATATTTGAAAAAAAATCATCATCTTCAAAAGCCGATGAGGCTAATATATAAGAAAGAAAATTAAGATAAAGTGTGGCAACTTGCTGCCACATGATGCTATGTTTTTACCATCCATAATAATTGAATTTTATAATATGCATGCATACTACGCAATATTTCAGGCATTTCCCAAGGATTTACATGAGCAATCCATTTCCCAATGTGTTCAATTCAGTTACCCTAATAGCTACTTATATTTATTCACTATTGGATATTTCTGGCTTGGTCATCAGTTGTCATGGAGATAAGCCGATATCAAACAACATCCCACATATTGCCCAGCTGGTGAGCATATTTTAAATAGTTTCATTTTGAACCTATAAATGCATATTTTGCTATTTACTCTCTCTGACCGTTAAAGCTTTATTTTTTCTGATCCGTGGCTGTAGCTAATCGATCATGCAATTGAAAGCAACATGCTCGTTAAGTCGTGATCGCAAAAAATAAGAGTCTCTCAAATCTACCAGTTAACTGATCAAACATTTAGTACAAACTTAAATAAACAGCACATTAGAAATTAAAATGAATGACGTAAAGTGTAAGGAAACAACTACAAGGTGCTGGAATGCAACGTGTGGCCATGAATTAGTGATATTTCACATGTTGATCCATACAACTACAATGATTGTCAGAATGGTGCACTGTTGATAAGAGACAGAATTTTTATATAACACGGTCAGGGAATATAATTGGCAGAGCACGTTGCCATACCAGGGATTGTGTTCAGGTTAGTCGAAATGTAGCCAATTCATTATTTGACGATGGAAAGTATAGTTAATGATAATAGTATAACTGTCGATGAATTTTGAATTCTGCCAGTTGGGGCTAATATCGAGCTAAATAATTCGCAGCACTATGAAGGCACCATGCAGTTTTGAGCTTGGTAGATGAATATTTCAGTCATTTACGAGTGCAATGTTTTGGAAAAAAGGTATATATAAGTATAAGGTAAATACTCAAACAGGGCCGAGTTTAAGCGTAGACAGCGAAGCCTAGTGCTGCAAACGGCAAACGCAAAGTTGGGAAGATTTTTCGATGAAATTGACATAAAATAAACATGCTCTCACTATTTTATAACTGTTATTATCGCAGATAAGAAGTAAGATATGAGATAAAGAAATTCTAGGAAGGAATTTTGACTTTTGTTACCCCGGAAAAGTGGCGCCCGATTAAGCTCCCTATTTACAGGTGCACGGAAATGGGCGCCACAATAATATAAAATCTATATTTTACCGGATTAACGAAACGGAAAATTTTTATATTTCCTGAGTATCAACTGGACATGTGCATGTATGTGTAGAGTCGAAGCAAACTAGCTACTGCCTCATTCAGAGAGTCGCCACATGGGGACTTGACGCGGGAAATAAGTGAATCGCGTGAGAATTAAACGAAAAGTGAAGGTTTTGAAAACGTGTAATTTTCGCGGGCGAAAACCTGGTTTTCAGAATCCTGTTATATATAAAATATGCTTTGTACATTACACTTTTATGCGGTAAAACGGACGTCATTTTTGTATACAGATGGAAAAAAATTAGCATGCATGCATACGTAAGAGGAATATTTGCACTTCACACCCATAATATGGTCTAACGAGTGCATAGCATACCTTATGGTCACAGCGATTTATGAAGGGGAATGCGCCAATTTTATAAGCTTATATCGAGTAACTTTTATTAAGTTAATATTGAAATCATTCTCTCTGAATATTAAATCGAAACGTCAAACGTCATTGTTCCTACAATGAACAGGTGTGTGGGCGGTAGCCTGGGAGACGGATGCAATAACTTGTGGGCGGTGAAATACATTAATATTGAATGCTCGTGCTATGCTAAGTTAAGAAGGCAAACTGAGTTACCATTTAACAAACGTTGTACGTATCTGATTATCGTGTAATATATATATATATATATATATATATATATATATATATATATATATATATATATATATATACATAACATTCCATTTCCTTCAAAGACTATATATATTACCGTAACAGGCACGAAAGATCCCGATAACGAAGAGAAGCTAGAAAATGTATACCAAATTGTGGATTGCGGCGTTGTTTATAACGTATCAATTTTGTGCAACTGTGGTTGCAAGCAAAAGTTGTCACAGTTTAACCGATGGTGAAATGGAAAATGACGGTTTTTGCACAACAAAATTCTATTGCATTGATGGTATATCAGTTCCATCGAGAGCGTGTAAAAATGGGGAAAGTTGTTGTATACCTAGAACACTAAGACGATAGGACCTGTGGCAAACCTCAGACAGTTATGACGTGTTTTGCGGTGCTCCAGCACAAGGATCAGTTTTAGGTCCAATCCTATATCTGATATACACTTAACCGATAGAGAGATTTTACGATCTCATGACATGAAATTTATTTCATCTATATGCTGATGACACTCAAATCTATGTCTCGTTTAATTATAAAGATCAGAATGACCAGAAAGCAAGTCAAATCACGCGTAGAAACTTGCCTCGCGGATATTATGAATTAGATGTCAGAGAATAAATGAAAGATTATAACACTGATAAAATGGAACTTCTTATTTTAAGTTCCAAATT